CCGATGCCTTCCTTTTGCATTTTTTTTTTTTTTTGCAGATATGTATTCACCCATCTATTCATTTATTCCTATGCAATACCTACCATGAATTAATTACCAGAAAACTTGCTTTCTTCCCCGTTTTATATCAGATGGACTCACATTCACTCCATAAAGACAGTTTAAATGTCTGCAATGCACAGAGTCTGCTTCTGAGTGAAAGCAAACTTAGAGAGGAAGGTGGTGCTGCTGGGAGGGTGGAACCCCTACTCTTCGCATGTCCCTTGATCATGCTGGACTGGAGTCAGGCTCAACAGGTGCACTGGTGATAATGTGGGGAAAAGCACTTTGCAACAATGTCAGCTTTTCTGTATTTAATTTTTTTGAGAAAATAAATTCGGAATATTGGAATATCACTGGTCTTAGACCAGAAGACCAAATCAAATGCAATTCATGAGAAATCACCTAACTTCTTTAAGTTTTTCCATTGTTTCTCCATCCCTTTGTCTGTCTAAACCTATTTCTTAAGGTTGTTGAGAAAATTGATTAAAATAATATGAAAAGAGTTGACACGTAGTAGGGCCTCAACAATATTTGCTGAATGCCAATCTGGTTTCTAAAGACTAGATAATATACTTATTCTCATTTTAGTGTTGACATAACCTGATTTATGCCTGTAAATTACATATAAGTAGAACATTAACCCCTTCTAAGCCAATCAAACTATTGAAATAAGCTTGCTCAGAAATGATTTTTATGTTGCAATTAGATGTTTCATGATTACAATTTCCTAGAAACCCTTGGCTCTTAAGTTTTGGGAATAAAGAAATGAATGATACACCGCCTACTCGAAAATCACTAAAATTATATTTAAAGATAAAATCTAGCCCATATAAACAAGAACGATAGACTCATAGCTCAGGCTTCCTGTAAGAGGGTGAATAATGTCCTCCCCCCCCCCCCCAAAAAAAAAAGATGTCCCTGTCCTAATCCCTGGAACCTGGGATTAGTACCTTATATGGCAAAAGGGTCTTTGCAAATGTGATCAAGTTAAGGATCCTGAAATGGAAAGATGATCCTGGATTATCTAGGTGGGCCTGATAACAGGTTCTTTTTAGGGGGAAGAAGACCAGGAAGAGTCAGAGAGACGGTGAGATGACAGAAGAAGAGATTGTAGTGATGCAGACATAAGCCAAGGATTGCTGATGTCTTCTAAAAGTTGGAAGAAATAAGGGTTTCTCCCCTGGACCCTCCAGAAGGAACCAGCCCTGTCAACACCTTAATTTTAGCTCCATAGGATTCATTTTAGACTTCTGACCACCGGAACTGTAAGCAATAAACTTGTGTTGTTTTAAGTCATGAAATTTGTGGTGAATTATTACAGTGGCACTTCCTGTACAGGGCTCTGAGAAGAATCAATTCTACATGTAGTGTGTGGTCTGCAGTGAGCAGGCCTCGCCATGAGTGCAGCTCCTCAGCAGGAACCCAGTCATTCCTTCATCTCACATTATTTTCACTTGAATTCAATACAGAAAAAATATATGACAGAAATATGTTGTAAGTAGGGAGTTGCTCCAAACTTTAATCTCAAGAATAGCAAAGTTAATAACATATTTATCTTATGTGCTCAAGGCAAAAAGGTCCCAGTGTTAGGACCTGCGACACTCAAGATGGAGTTCAGATCAGTAAGTGTTCTAGAACAGCACCGTGCAATAGAAATGTTACAGCCACAGATGGCATTTTAAATTTTCTAGTAGCCACCTTTTTTATTGAAAGATAATTGATTATATATATTTGGGGGGTACAGATTCAAATGTCAATACATGTGTGCAATATCTGGTGATTAAATCAGGATGTTTAGTATACTCATGCTTACAAGACATAATCAATCTTTGTGACCCTTAACTAGTTTCTCACCCCCTCTCCCTCCTCCTTTCCCACCTCTAATAACCACAGTTCCGTTCTCTATTTTTGAAAGTTTAATGTAGTATTGTGATTGTTTCTTTCTTTTCTTTATTTTAGCTCCCACTTATGAGTGAGGACACATAGTATTTCTCTTTCTGTGCCTGGCTTATTTCACTTAACATAATTTTCTCTAAGTTCATCCATGTTGCTGCAAATGGCAGAATTTCATTCTTTTTTATAGTGGCCACATTTTTTAAAATGTCAAAGAAACAGGTGAGATTAATTTTAGTAACATATTTTATCTACAATATTACCATTTCAACATGTAATCAATACAAAACGATTAGTGAGATACTTCCTGTTCTTTTTGTCAGTTTAAGTCTTGAAAATCTGATGCGTATTTTACACTTACAGCACATCTCAACTGGGACTGGCCACATTTCAGGGACTCAATAGCCATCTGGGACTCCTGGCTACCATATTTGCTGTATGGAATAGAGCAGGTCTAGAGCATTTAAATACAGACTATCCCTGACTTATGATGGTTCGACTTACAATTTTTGACTTTACAGTGGTGCGAAAGCCATATGCATTCAGTAAAACCATACGTTGGGTACCCGTACAACCATTCTGCCTTTCACTTTCAGCACAGTATTCAATAGTTATGTGAGATATTCAACACTATTATAAAGTAGGCTTTGTGTCAGGCAATTTTCCCAACTGTAGGCTAATGTAAGTGTTCTGAACATGTTTAAGATAGGTTAGGCTAAGCTATGATGTTCAGTAGGTTAGGTGTATTAACTGCATTTTTGACTTAGGATATTTTCAATTTATGATAGGGTTTATCAGGACATAACCCCATAGTAAGTCAAAGAGCATCTGTAGTCCCAATACTCAAAGGGCATAAAAAGGTATAAAGCAAGCCAAATACTGATGCTTAAGAGCAGATAAATTCATGTAGCTAATGATTTATTCATTTGATGAGTGTTAATTGTCTACTATGCACTAAGCACCATTTAAGAGGCATATAATTTTCTAGGTCATGAAATCACGGTGCAGTGTTTCAACTAAAAACAACAACTGGTGCTTATATTAGAAATCTCTACATAGCAGTCAGTTTTTACTATAAATTGTGAATCCTCAGGAAATAATCAGTAAGCACACTTTTCTGCAATGGGTGCCTTGCTTTCTCTGTACATGTGTTGTCCGTAATGTGGAATCTGGAGCTGATTAAACACGGTTCCTGGGCAGTTCCTGAAGAGCCAACCACTTGACATTTCCAAGCACGTTGAGCAGATAATAAACACACCAGCTCATGAACCTGATACCGTGTAAAGAAACCACGTTTCACATCTTGAAAACTGCAGAACTGCAGAATCCCGACATGGATTCTCCAGTTTAATATTCTTTGGTTTATTCGGGGGATTTTCGGCTTTTAATTTAATTTGGAGGCACTTTGAAAGGGAAGCTCCTGGAGGTCCATTTGCTGGCTGCTAAAGAACTGTTAATCTCATCTCCAAATAGCACTTGGTCTTTCTTAAGTGGGCTTTCTAACAATGCAAGAACCTCCGACGTTCAAGGAAAATGTGATTATGAGCAAATTACATCTGCTTATATTTTTATCATGAAAAGGAAATTGAAACTTGCGATCATACATTATAAGAACCTGGTTTGAGGTTTGTTCTGTTTGAATTTCAAAATCCCTTAATATCGTGGCTGACTCTGATGAAAGATTTTTTCCTGTAAGTCAAACAAAGATAATCAGGCTCACCTTTAAGAAGCCTGAACCAAACCAAGGCTCTTATCCTGCTTTCTCCAAGAATCATTGCTGAAATATCTCTGTAGTGCAGGGGTCTCACTCAGCTGGGGGGCGATTCTGCCTCCCAAGGCACCTTTGGAAATAGCCGGAGACATTTTTCGTTGTCACAACTTGGTGGTGGTGGGGACAGGTATCAGGGTTGCTGCTGGCATCTAGTGGGTAGAGGCCAGGGATGCTGCTAAACCTCCTACAGTGCACAGAACAACATCCCACCCCAACAAATAATGATCCAGCCTAACCCAAAAAGTCAATTGGGCAACAGTGGAGAAACCCTGCTCTAGCAGACACCTAAGGAGAAAGCAAGACATCATAGCCAGAGAACTAGCAAACCTTTTTCAGTGCGTGTCTCCCAAAAGACTGCCCTAGTGCACTGGTGAAGAGTAGGGACTCTGGGCCAGCTGCCTGGGTCTGCACCCTGGCTCCATCACTAACTGGCTGTGTCTCCTTGAGCAAGTTACTCGACCTCTCCGTGCCTCACTTTTCTCCTCTACGACACAGGGATGATAATAGTGCTTTCCACACAGAGTAGTTATGGGCTTTGGATGGGTTAATAGTTCCAAAACGCTTAGAGCAGTGCCAGGTTGACAGTAAGCACTTTGTAAGTGTGCATTTACTAAGTGGCTTTGCTGATCTCTGGAAAAATAAGTTTCAGGACTCAGAAAAGCTTATGGGCAGTAAGACAACGTCTTCAGATTCTGCATTGCCATAGCAAGAACGAGCTTTCCAGTCTGTCAACCCTAATCAGAAGGCACTGAGCAGAGGAGCCCAGCATCACGCTGGCTCAGCCCAAGAACAGGAAAGACTTGCTTGCTATGGTCCTCGGTTTCTTTCCCCACTTCCCCAGCAAAACTAGCTACTGACAACCAGTTGGCGCGCTTCGGATAGAGTGGAAAACACGAAACGGCACAAGCACAGAACCCACTGACACTTACACATAGGGCACGCACACACCCGCCCCTCCAGTAGGTGTCTGCAGGCCACCAAGCCCACACGCACCCGCGGGCTTGCGCTCTGAGCCTCTCTCCCTGTAACCCGCCGAGCGGGCGCGGCCAGGTGGGGAGCAGCTGAGGCAAAGGGAACTAACTGGGTGCAAAATCCCGCCAAAGGCGCGCGAGGAGGAGAGCCCGTGGGCGCTCCGGACCTGGCACCTTAGTGAAATCCTGTCTCAGCGCGACAGGCACCCATGCGCACACACCCCCATACACGCGGGGGTGCATGGAGGGACAGGGGCCAAAGAGAAGTGTCCCCAAAGTGGGGAGCTCAGGCCCATCGGACCGATCTCCAGCCAGACACTCACCTGGCTGCGTGCCCTAACCCACCTGCCACCCAGGGGAGCAGCAGCGGGAGCGCGAGGCCCCAAGGCCGTGGCATCTTCGCGCGGGGCCGCTCTCCTCCTCCCCCGGCGCCCCTGGGGACCCGGGGTGCAGCGGGGCCGCCGCCTGCTTTCTCCTCGGCCGCTCGGCAGCTCTCAGGTGCGGTCCCCGCGGGCGGGG